ATTCACCAAGACACTAATAATTATTGTTGACTGATTTATTACTCTTACACATTGCAGCATATGTTGTTATGCAGCTGCAATTAGCTATCTTAAAATATACTTCTTTTTCAAGATTTTGTTTTCTAAATGCTAATATAAAGTCTTGCGTGTTCAATTTGATGCTAACTTATAAATCAACTTAATGCCATATATAGTTTAGCACTGTCTAAATTTCCATGATTATGTGAAAATAAGCTTATTTGTTTATGGGTATTAGAAAATCATCCACATGGGATTTGAGTTTCTGTAAATTTGTAACACATTGATGCTACACATCATTCATTATGGGAAATATCTTAAGTTTAGATTACTTTACCCAATAAATGGAAAGTTAAGCAGAAGTGGGAAGAATTCTTTGCTGATTCTCAAAGCTTTCTGTGATTTATTCAAACATTATGCAACAGGTCATATAGTTTTTGGATAGCTAGAGATATCAGTTAAGTTCTTTTGTTGATATTTCTGTTAGTGTCTAGCATTTAACTGTATGTTACTTATTTCATTCTACATAGGATAAATTTGTTGAACTCACCTTAGTACCAATATTGTTGTCGAGGTTATCTAATAGGATAAAGAGTTACGATTGCGACCACTTAATCAACAGGTATTGGGGATTGGGAGTGTTTTCATTTTTCTGTAGATTTTAAGTATAAAACAATCAGGGTAAGACCGCAAGGAGTGTGAAGATATTCATTCAGGAAATTTATTCTGATGGAAGCTGGTCAACACACTTCTAATAATCGAAAACTGTGCAATATAAACACTAGAAACTTCGTTTAAATGCTGTGTTATACGAAGATAAATATGATATACAGCTGTTTCCCCTTATCATGTCTAGTGAAATTGCTTTTATTCACCTTGTCACCATACTTTGTAACATAGGATTTATCTTTCGAGTGTTTCTAATGGATTTCTTTCAGCTAATATTTAATGTGAAGTTAAAGATTTTTAGGAAAACAAGAATGAACGATTTTGAGAAAAGGGATATTGAGTCAATGTAACCATTATTATAAATTACTTTGGAGATTAGTGAATTCCATAGTTTATAGCACGTACTGATTCTGTTTAAATAATTATTGAAAATCAGGAAGCAGCAAGTAGGCGTTTCGCCCCAGTATGAAACTTATTAGCAGTACTTATCCGACTTTACACCAGGGATCGAATATAAGACCAGGATTCAGAGTAAGCCCTTAACCTTTGGACCACGGGGCAGGTTTTCATAAATTTACATGATATCTGTTTAGTGTATATATTATAAATCTCCACTCTCATTACCGAAGTTTATATTCGTTAAGAGCCAACCTAACACTTGGTAAGCGTAAGGTGGTAGTTGCAGGTAGTCTATGGGAGTCTGTGGATCTAGATTTCGTATGATTCACCACTCATCAGAAAAGTACACATCTTTTGAAATGATCAACTCTACCTAAAAAATAAGAGGTTCGAGTACCGTTCAAATTATAAATGGATTATCGCGACGTATTTGACCACCACCAACGGATGGATGTTAGTAAACTGACTGCAACTTCTGTTGCAAGTAAGTATCAAGCGGAGCTAGCCTCTAGGCTAGCTACCATCCCACCGAAAAGTATAGATGAGCATTGGTTGCATCTTCACGACGCCATAAAGATGGCGAGTAAAGCCGCTTGCGGCTTCGCGAAACGTCCCGCTTACAAGCACTGGGTTTCTTCTGGTTCCTTACAACTGATTGAAGCCCATCGGTCTACTCCGGGTGACCGTGAGTTTGACCACAAACGAAGGCTGTTACGTAATGGAATCGGGCAAAGCTTGCGTAAGGACCGAGAAGCCTGGTGGTTGGAGCGTGCTAATGAGATGGAAGCAGCAGCTGCATTTGGTAACTGCCGGAAGCTCTTCCAACTCATCCGAGCCACTGGCAGCAAGAAGTCTGGTGTGAGTGAAACAATCTACGAGGATGACGGGATGCCAATCAGTAACATCTCTCGACGTCTTGGACGATGGGCGGAATTTTTCGAAGGGCAGTTCAACTGGCCTGCTGCTCCGGCAACATCAACCAGTTTGTCCTGCCCCCCATGGCCGGTGACGACTGATCCACCAAACGAGGCGGAAGTTCGTAAGGAACTCCAACTCTTGAAACGTTACAAATCACCGGGCCCAGATGACTTACCTCCGGCTCTTTTTAAAGATGGTGGTGACTTTCTGACTAAGGAATTGACTGTGTTGTTTGGTAAGGTTTGGGAGCAAGAAAGTGTTCCAACATCTTGGAATGAGTCAATAGTCGTCCCTATCTTTAAAAAGGGTTCACGTTGTTCCTGCAATAACTATCGGGGGATAAGTCTACTTTCGATTGCGTCCAAACTATTGGCTTCTATCATTCTTCGTAGGTTGTTTAAAACCCGAGAATGATTGACTTGCGAGGAGCAGGCTGGTTTTCGTTCTGGTCGAGGATGCATCGATCACATCTTCACCCTCCGCCAAATGTTAGAACACCGTCATACTTATCGCAGGCCAACAATCGTAGTGTTTCTTGATATCAGGGCGGCCTTCGATTCGTTGGACAGGACTGTTCTCTGGGATTGTCTATTGAAGAAGGGTGTGCCTGAGAAGTTCATTAACATCTTAAAGGCCCTGTATACGAACACCTCAGGCAGAGTGAGGGCATACAACCACCTTTCTCCCTTGTTTCATTCGAGCAGTGGGGTTAGGCGGGGTTGCCCGATCTCACCATTCCTCTTCAACTTTGCCATCGATGACATCCTGGAAACAGCTCTGATGGATGTAAGTAATGGCGGTGTGGATATGTTGCCTGGAGAACGACTTCTCGACCTCGAGTATGCGGGTGATATTGTCTTACTGTTCGATAATGCCCAAGGCATGCAATCCGCACTTAATCAGTTGGTAATCAGTGTCCGCAGGTACGGCATGTGCTTTGTACCCTCCATGTGCAAAGTACTCCTACAAGACGCAGGATCCTCATCCTGTACTCACTCTGGAAGGTGTGCAGATTGAAGTAGTTGAGAAGTTCGTGTATCTAGGTAGCTATATAAGTGCTGGGACTTAATCTCCTCACGATGCTCCACTGCCTTGTAGATCAGACCTTTAGGTCAAAGGCTCACGGTGTGGCCCCCCTTAAGAAAACCATCTGTTTCGGTTTGGGTACCCGCGCAGTATCACAGCCCTCATACACAAATCAAATGAGATTTGTGCGGCGCCTATATATTTGGTACTTACTTGTAACAATATTTATGTGTTTAAATAAATAAATAAATAACTATGATATCATGAAGTGGGTCTACTGGGACATGTATAAATTTGTTAAAGATTTCAAGTTTCTCTGTATTACGATAAACATTTTTGAAAATTTTATTTAGATTGGTTATTTTCAGTTTGATGGTATACGAATAAAATGTTTTTAGTTTTCATCATAAAATAAATAAAATCTATAAAGCAAAATTTTCAGGATGCATTATTCATTAAACAAAACACATATCATGAGATGAAACCAAGATCAGACTAAAGAAAACATTCACTAAGAACCCTGAAACATGACCACAACTTATCATAAAGTGTTCAATGATATAAAATGTTGAATACTACCTTGATTGTCTTTTTTTCTTTGGGAGATAAAGATATTAGAATAAATGTAGGAATATACTGAGGTCCAACTGTGTTCAATGGTGGAAAACATCTTCAAGTTTATAAAGTTCAATTACATCTAGACTGAAGCCCTAATTTTTATCATGATGAACATGTAGCGTCTAGTTCTATGTCATGCTGATATGGGTTATTCTAGATTATGGACAGATCTATTAATTTATTCCTCATGAGTCACATTTTAACCTTGTCAAATATTTGCCTATAACCCCGACTATTTGTATTTGAGCTTGTGTATCGCTTATCCTATTCATCACATGTCTTTAATTTATTTTTGTCTGGCTATAAATACCAAGTCACGCTTTATTAGCACGAGTTGGTATACTTAACTTCCTGCTCCTTGTTTTAGTATTTCTCTGATTTAACGAGAACATGAAATAAACTCACCCAGCCTAAAATGTATTTGGCTTCTCATTTCCGTCACCGCCCAAAAGGAGTAAGCCTAGATGTAACATATAGAGTTAAACGGAAGGCTTATATTCATTCGTTCCTCCGAATGGCAGTCATATCATAGGTTACAAAAATATAACTTCATAGATAAGATTGTTGGCAAATTTTGTCCTCCTACTCTTCGTTGAAAAAATGAGCAACCAAAAGACATGGTTCCAATAGGTTGAAGGTTACAATCACTTTATTCTGATAAGATATTTTTCCAAAACGGATCAATTACCCTGGTATTCTCAATCAATTAACTGTTATTTAAAAATAAATTCAACTCCTGGAATTTTATCAATAAATTTTCCACAATCAGTAGGTCCTATTATTAAACTATCAACGGAATATATGTATACAACACACCTCATTTTACTTTTCAAATTTCCATTGCGAGTGATAAAGTATCGTAAAGTATGGAGCTAAGGCCTTGTATAACTGGCACTAACCAGTCATCTCGACATTGCGGTCGTACTATCAGGTAGTCAAAACTACCTATCCAACCAGCATTTCCTTCCAGGTCCTTAATAAGGAGCACACTAAGCGCAATCAGAAAGTAATAACTATCCTCATACCTATACCAACATAAGAGATCACTTTTTCCTAGTATTTCATTAGACAATTAATGTCTGATATTGTTACAGAAGCTTTAAATCGTCAAGCAAGTAGTCACTTTGACTAAAAACAAATAACATTTCAGATGATGAAAATTGATTGGGTAGAATATTACTCATTAGAGAACTTGAAAACCAAATGATTACGTATAACTTCACGCTAATGAAGAACGGAATTTTCCCGTAGAGTACTGTTTGTTACATAAAAAGTGGATATATATATATATATATAATTCTGATTATCCCAAAATGTCATGTGTACTTTAGGCAAATGCAGTGCTTATAAACTTACTTCAATTTATCAATTTCTTCAGTAAGCTCAGCTTTTTGTGATGTTGCTAGTTCTTCGTTTTGAACTTTAGTTGATTCAAGTAAATCTTGTTTCAGTTTAGATTCAATTAACCGTGTGTGCAAATCTCGAATTTCAAGCCTTTGTGATTCAACTATTTTGTTTAATTCGTTTAGTTTACAGTTTAAATTGCTTATTTCTTCCTCTTTACATGATAATTCTTGCATATAATCATGTTTAGTTTTATTAGCTAGTTCAACAGACTCATTTGCAAGATGGATACGTAATTCTAGGTCAAAGATTTTTTGTGCACTATCAGCTCTGAGACTTTCTTTCTCTTTCACTGCGTCATCGATTGCAGTTTGTAGTTCGACAGCAGCATGAAGTCTTTCCTTCTCAAGTTCTGACTGAAGACGATTAATATTATTTTGCAATTTGATGCGTTCTTCAGTTTCAGTTTTTCTCAATACCTCAATTATTGCATTGTGTTTTTCAAGTAGCTTTTGTTCTCGTTTGACAGTTTCACGGAGAGATTCTTCAATATCCTCTCTTAATTTTGCCTCTGATGATTTGACTTGAGCAAGCTCTGATTGTGTACGACCTAAAGAAACTTTGATTTCGCTAATTAGAATATCTCTTGAGTGAATATTCTGGAGAAAAAACAAACAACAGTTAAGCATTGATTATAAGAACTCTACGCTGCTTAATGACTCGTGAAAATTTATTGTATGGAAAGGAAAGTATGTAAAATACGATAATGACATATGATGCTTTTGTATATGTTTGGATGATTAGAACGGCAATAAAGTAAACGTTTAATAATGTTCGATAATCGTTGTACTAGATCAGATATTAACTGAAGTTAATAATCTGAATTATTAGGTTCATACTCTGGTTTGGTTGTAACGCGCCTGCCACGTGACTATGTCTTGAATACATCGCAAAGTCATGAGTGAGCACTGTTGAAGTGTTCTACACTAAAAAGAAACGGTTGATAACTAGGTTTTCGGGTAGGACTATAATTTATGGACGAACCAGTCAGATTTACGATAAAAGATCTTGGATTTCGGCGTAAAACTCTTCATCCATTTGGCTAAATATTGCTTTGGAGTTTTAGCTGATGTCAGTTCGTGATGAAAACTCTAATCCTAACCATCAACTATAAATCATAATTCTAATTCCTCACACTGTTTTACAACCCTCATGTAGTTCTAGTTAGGTGGACATTCTCAAGGTCATTTTGGCGTCGCTTTGCGTCTACAATCACTAATGAGTTGTTAAATTATTCGACTTGGTACTGTTTGAACTCAGCAATAATAATAGCACAAGTGGGGACAACCAAATGTATGTGGATATGATATCACAGTTATTTCATTAAATGTGAATGCCATACATTTAATACTTCATTTGCAAAATGTTCATCAATTGTCTCAAACTTTGTTGTTTCTTCATTTCCATACCAATTACTCTCTGTTTCTATTCTTTTCTGTTTGATCTACTGAATTTTCTACTACCAGACATTCCACTTTCGATTGGTGTTATATAGTACTTATATCTGTCAACATCAGTAGCACACACCACAAATTACTGAAAGTATCACATAATTGAACAAAACAGTCTTTAAATTCACCTGGCATTGTTTGTTTGAATTTGCCCATTGATGTGTTTAGGACTGCAACTGGGCAGTCTTTTATTGGCCAAATGTGAATACTGTGCGTATTGCCTCGATATAGCCTTAATTCACATGCATTATAAGCAAAGATGGATAGTGGCTAGTAGTGGAATCCAGTTTGATGCGCGTTTCGTTCTATCTGGGATTCGTCAGCTAGATGTACCTGCATCTCAGAGTTGATATTCACTCTGAGACTCGAATCCAGTACCTTACGCTTCAAACTCCATCGCGTTACCCACTCAGCTACTGAGTTCTGATATCCACTTGCTTGTGCAATGGGGTGAAGTTTAAATTCATTTAGTATTGTTTGTTTGAATCTTCTCATTGATGTTTAAGACCGCAACTGGTCAGTCTGTAATTAGCATATGTGCATACTGTGCGTATTGAAGCGAAAGGTACTGGATTTGAGTCTCAGAGTGAACATCAACTCTGAGATACAGGTACATCCAGTTGACGATTCCCAAACAGGACGAAACGCGCGTCCTGGATGCCACTGCTAGTCACTATCCGTCTTCGCTTACGAAACAATCTTTGTTTACTATTCTAACCACATAATAATATAAATGTTAAACAGTTTCGAGAAAAGTATATTTAAAGTGTATTAAAAACTTAACAGCATTTTAATACGTTCCAGCTATGTTAATCAGCGGTTACGGATGTTTTGAAAGGATTAAAAAAACTGGACTTTTTCTTAAGAAGATATAAAATTTATTAACTCTGTAAAATTCTACTTATACATACGAATAGTTTAAGATCAGATATAAATCGGGAAGATTTCTTCATGAAATTAAAATCATCTCAACAATGCAACTGTGATCACTGAATGTATACGTCGTCTGTAGAACAGAGTATTTGATTACGAAAGTGAGGTCGTAGCTGTAAATAATTCCCCAAAATCAATAGCTTTGTAAGTGTTCGACATCGGATGCTGACCACATTAGTTTTAGTGGACTTGTTTAGCTGAAGGCGATCGGTCATGCATCAGTACCAGATCATGTTACAGCGCCGCGTGGGAAGCATCTTTTACCATCATTAGTCAGATTAGATCAGTCACTTTTCGATATATTGATAACCCATCAAATATATCTTCCAACCTCCTCGCTTCTGACTTCTGATTTTAATTGGGTGGGTGTGATTCGATTATAGGTGTTACTGGTAGAGAGTTGCCAAATTAAAATACTGGTGGTATCTTCAAGGTCATCAAGTATTAATCATTTACTTGATGCTAATAATAATCTAGTTTCCAGCATTTTCAATCTGTTTACCAAGTTGGTTGATCTTTAGCACCTCAGACTTTCCTAATAATACTAAAAATTATATGTTGGAGATCTGTAACTCAATTGTGTGATTTTGAAGTTTCTTTATCAAAGTTGAATGCTTTGATCAAGACGCTTTAATTATCTTTCTAGACAATATAATTAGCACAAATTTCAAATGGAAGAAAACTATTCAAATTTCTTCAGTTGTGACTGATAGATTGTCTTGTCGATTTTAATGCTAACTGATTGTGGTTAACCTTTTTCTTGTCATCATCCTTATATTTATTTTAATTATCTCCCAGTTTGAAGGAGGTACTGATTCCCAGGAGTTTCATTCTATTCTATTGGTTCAGATTAAGAGTATTTTGTAGAAATGAGATAAGTCACAGTGTAATGATCATACAACTCGCTGGAACAGCAATGTAACGACCTAGCTCATATGATGGACATAGGTCTATAAAATCAGTTTTGAGTCACAATGTTTTTTGTGAGCACTTGATATTACCTGGATACTCCCAAAGGAGTCAGATGACATGGCTTCGTACTACTTACTTTTGATTTAGTGACGAGTAGGTTAACTGCTAAACTTCCACTCCACAAACGACATATCTTACTAATGAGTATTGGTCTCATCATTTTTTTGAACTATTGTCCCTGTGATTAACTATTTTAAGTGTATTTCAATTTCTCGGAGATTGCGTTTTCTTCCAAAAATTAGGATATCCAAGAAAATAAGCTTATCCAGTTACACAATGTCGGTCTTCTAACCTTTAATCATCGTTGAAATATCGTGATATTGACCGAACCTCAATCTACAAAGTGCAAACTTTAGCAACTTTAGATAGTTGAGATTTCAAATTACCATATTAATTTTGTGTTGGATAAACATTCTACTAATTAGTAGTTTAAATATTTTGTTTGAAATGGTTCTGGAAGTTAATTTTTAGCTGTAGTTTCAAGTTATTGGCTTTATTTTTTGTTTGTTTATCATTTGAAGCTGTATCCATCATATATGTGTGATGGGAATCAGTTTTTAACGAATTCTTTCAGGAATTCTACAAATTTTATTGAATATGAATATCTAGTATTTTACAACATAGCTTGCGGTCATAGATACTTGTTATATCCCGTTGAGATGTATGAATAGTAACTTTGAGAACTATTTATGGACCAATAGGATATGTATATTTCCTGTTGTATAATTATTAAATAACTTAACTATTTATATTCATGTTCCTTATATCATGAGCTTCATTTTGATCCATAGACTATTATTATACGATTTACCATTCTCCAGTTATCCCTAGTCCATTAATGACTGTTCCTCCCTATTCACTGCCATATTTGGCCGAATCTTGTACAAATGTTATTTTCTGTTTTATTGGTACGATATGGTCATTTTATTTGGTATATAAACCCAGTATGTTTGAGAATAATAATTCATACCGCAGAGGCTGTTATTGGCTGAGCTAGGCAGAAAGCACTACTGATGAGTGCTCGAAACTGCTCGTACGGGTTTCGTATGTTATTCGTCCGAATGATAAATTGCTACTCTCTTATTGGTGGGTACACGATATAACAGTTTTTTTTTTACCAAAAATTATAATGGCGAAGTCCTGCCATGAATAATCTCACACTAAATCGATATTCAGTTTTTAGTGTACAGTGATTCCAATTAGTTTCATTAAAAAATTTACGTAAGTCGATAAGCAAGAAAAAACTAACGACAAGATGAGCTGTAATATTTGTAAAACTTAAGTTTCTTTATATTTTAAATTAAATTTGAATCATATTCATTATATATGTATTGGTTCTTTGTGCTATACATGAAGCGATCACGAGTTCACCTAGTCTGCGAACGGAACAGAACAAAGACTTGTGACCAAAGATCAATAAGCTAGCTATTCTTATGCATCCCAGCCATGCTAACTAAAGAGAGAGAGAAGTCGAAGTCCAAACGGAGAATAAATATATTCCGTAAGCAGCCAGAAGCACAAACGATCCAACAGGCATAAATTAAACGTATATATACAACATAAAACTGTCCTTGTGAAGCATTACGAAATAGCATACTAAAAGACACAACGAATCAATAACGTTTAAGATTTTCACAAGTAAGAAATATAACATGAAGGTGAAAAGAACGCTTCTGGAGCTAAAACAAAGGAATTCAAAGTTCCAAAATAAAATTATAAAAATAAGGTATTTACCAAGTGAGTTCTGCGGATCTAACATCCCCAATAATTTGAATCTTTTTATTGACGTTTACGACCGCAGTTGATCAGTCTCTTTTGACATATGCGTATCATATGCAAATTTCCTCGATATTGGCACTAGGTTATAAGCATTTTTATGCATAAGATTGACCGTGATTAGCAGTAAAATCCAGGAAGGGCGTTTCTTCATTGTCGAAACTCGTCAGCTGGAAGTGCTTGCATCCCAGGATTTATATTCACTTGAGGGCTAATCCTGCTTCTCTGATACTATAATTTGATGATTTTGTAGGTACGCAAGTGTTTTATAAGCAATCCAAATTTGCTCTGCTTGAGACGGTTTAGTGAAGGTTGGTCTAATTTATAGGTTTTATTCGTCTCAGATTAGTTTCAGTTGGGATACTGTTAAAATACAGGAACTGGAAAATTGTATGAAACTTTCCAGCAGTGTGTTCGTCATGAGTGGTTTTGTTTCTTGACGAAGTCATGAGGTTTGGTCTGTTGAAAAATCTCATACTGGGATGAAACATCTGCTC